TATATATAATATATTTCAGATCATAATATAAAAATAAAATAGTAAATCCACAATATAATCATACACAATTCACATGTACAAGAAAGAATTTTCAGAGTTACCTAGTACTCTTTAGCTTACAAATAATTACACAAAGATTTCTCCAAAATTCTCAAGGGTCTACAAAATTGCACATAAATATTTATTAATATAAAACTTAAAAGTACTTCAAAACTACTCTAAAATTTTAAGATTACCCTCTAAACCAAAATTACATAGATATATTAACTCTCCCAAATCTAACCATATAATAGATATATATATTTTGAAAATATATAATTTACATATAAGGCTATTTAAATTTAACAACTTAAGTAAATATATTTTTATTACCCAAAATCTAAATATTTTATATTAAAATTCTCAATTATTTATTATAGTCTCCTTAAAAAATTTTCCTTAAACCAAACACTTCTTTGAGTTATAAATAAACTGTAACTTTATTTAATTTCACAAAATTCTCAATTTACAATTTTTTCAAGGGAAAATGACAGATAAAGAAGCTTCAAAATGTAAAATGCCAATTTGGGAAGCTAAGGAAATGTAATTACAGATAGAGAAGTCCTTCCCAAATTGGAATTGAAATTTTCAGTGAAATGACAAAAACGCTCTTTGTCCTTTTAAAAAAAAAAAACCAACCCCTCATCGGCGACCGGCGGCCGCCGGCCGCCTTTGGTGAACTAAGCTTCTTAATAATAAATTACAGTTTACACGTTCTTTTTTCTTAAGATAAATGCTATTGTTAGTTCTTATACTTTGATTGAACTTTAATTTTGGTCCTTGTACTTTCAAAGCTAAAGCTTTAGTTCTCATAGTTTCATATTTTTTTAGTCTGAGTTTAACAAATGGTCCTTTAGTTCCTATACTTAAACTTAGACCAAATTCTTATGAAATTATGAAATTATAAACATCAAAGATAATAATTTGAAAACACAGGGGCCCAAATTAAAATTGGATCAAACTATAAGGCTTAATAATGATGTAAATATTTTTCTTTAACTTTTTACATTTTATGCCCATCGTTTTTATGCTTTGTTTCTGTATTAAAATGTGTATTTGAAGTGTATGCCATCATAATTATACGCAAACCTTTCAATTGGAAATCCATTTCAAGCTTCTTATATACACTGAATATGACTGTGAAATTTGATTAATTTAGCATTTTTATATATAGGATTTAGAGCTTGAGTTCCCTCAGTTATTGCATACTTACAAAACATCCGAAAATTTGAAAACATTAAAGGGGAAATTGCAAAAAAAAAAAAGACTCTGGAAATTGAAAAATGCAGATAAGGACCCGTGACAACTTTACTATGGGTTTTAATAACTTCATGACATATTATTATTGTCAAAAGCCATAGTGAAGTTATCAAGGGTCTCTATTTGTGTTTTTCAAATTCTAGGGTCTTTAATTGTGATTTTCCCAACATTAAATTTATTCCCTTTTTTATGTGTTACTGCTATTCCTAACAAAAATATTCTATTACAATTTCTCAAACATTTCCCTTCTCTCTAGGAACTCGAAATGAAAGACTTCTTGATAAACGTATATGGTATATATTATTGAAAATATAACATTCTTAGAATTTTTCAAAATATAAAATATCCCCATAATATATTGAATTTTCAAAAATAAAAAACTATCATTACTTCAATTTAAAGCTGTGGTTCTGCGTTGGTGCCACTTGGCATCGCGAGTAAGAATAATGCACAGATATAATTAGGTACGATCTAAAAAGTTCTGATAATACTTTTCAAAAAATAATCATATAAAAAATTGACTTACTTTACTAATAAGAGTTAGTTAGTAAGAAATCAGTTCATAACTCACAATACTACTATGAAAAGATTGTTATTTAGCGATTTATAAGTACCTATATAAGTAATATTTGAACCTGAAAGCATGTTCTAGTTGATACACTCCTATGACCAAACATACGTAAACTTTTAAAACAAAATTCAACGTTCTCTTTGACTATATCCAGAACCTTTACTTTCTGGAACCTGTAACTTTGATCTAACCTACCATGTTAGAAATTCTTTTTAAAAAAAAAAAAAACCACGCCCCCCTTAGAAATATTAGTTTGGCTGTTACAACGAAATGATTGTTAAAACTCTTTTTCGTGTGAGTGAAATTAACGAAGAAGTTAAGCTAAGGCTATAAAAAGGGGGGAAAATTAGCTACGAAGATAAAACAAAACAAAATTCTTTCGAATATATTGCTCACAAACTTCTTGTATTGATTTTTTTTTTTAAATTGGAATTAAATTCAAGATTTGATCAAATAGTAAGATAATCATTATTATTTATAATATCACTTGAACATTCGGTGCACCCAGAACTGTGAGAAGAGCCTCTTATCTTTCCTTCCAATCCTCTTCCTTTTTACAACAGTTAGATTGATCATTTTAACTGTTCAAATTTTAATATTTTTAAAAGCATTTAGTGCATTTGTAAACTGTCAAAATTAAATTTTAGTATTTAGTATTTTATTATTTGTTTATTATCAATCTAACGGTTAAAAAAAAAACAGAGAGAAGAGACTGGACGAGGATACGAAGGGAAGAGGAGAGCAGAACTAAGATATATTAAAATGGAAAAAAAAAAAAACTATCTTCTGAATGAGACTGATAAATATTTAAATCTGAATTTAAGTATTAGTACGAGATATAATATAACATATATTAACATAAGCCGTACAGTCTAAAATATAAAAACTATTAGATAGGTTTATTTTTATCCTTAATATAAGATACCAATCTACTTTATTTTCTAAATTTATAATTTTTTTCTTAAATCCTTGTTATTGATTTCAGATATTAAGGAGATTTTTCATCAAATGAGTATTTAGTAGTTTCCAATACAAATGAATAAATGATCAAGGATTACTTTAGGAAAACCAAGACATTTTTTTTTACAAATAACTAATTTAATTAGTTTTTTTTTAATACTTACAAATCTATTATCTAGCTAGTTTCTACATTTAGGACAGAAAGGAATAAAATTTTTTTAAGGCAATACAAAAAAAAATACTTGTATTAAGTTTCTTATATCTATTATATCAAATTTTCTAATCACATATGGTCATGTGTCATATTTTAATTTTTTTTTCATGTGGCTTGATAACTAAATGATAATATTTTAAAAATAGGATACGCGACCATATTTAACTAGAAAACTTGACTTAATCGATATAAATTAACTTAATATAAATATTGTCCATAAAATTTTGTAACAAGTGTTGGTCCAATATTTGATGCAGTTATTTTATTTTATTTTACCTCCATTTGATGCAGTTATTATACTTCAAAAGGCGATGGAAAAGAATAAGCAATTGATGCTAATAGGCTTAAGATGTAAGATGTAATGGCATGGAAATTGTTTTCTTGGAAGGGGGAATACATGAGCTTACAATTTCAAACTGTTAGTAGCTGTTCTTTTAGTTTAAAAGAAAATATAAAAGCAATTTAAGTCGGTGGGATACACAGACAGTTTTGACTAGAATGAAACGTTAATATCATCCTTCACAAGTGGAAGAAGAACCGCAGTTTGCCAGTATTTATAGTGCTACCTGCCACGCGTTACGTTGAACGTAATACACGCGTTGTAGGTGTGACACCCATATGTGTGTGTCTTTTGATAATAAAAAATTATGTATATGTATATATATATTTATGTAACTCGATAAATTAAATACTCCTATACTCCTAAATGTAATATCTATTTTATAGTGTAAATTATATTACAAAATGAGTCTTATAAAATTAAATAGAGTACCTCCAAGAATATTTGTACAGAAATAAAAGGGTATTATTTACAATGTAAACCGTTTCAGTCAAAAAAAAATTCTATGTTTTATATGTTATGGTTAGAAAAAGGAAAGGCATCAAACCATTTGGATTATAATATTTAGGTGAATGGGTCAAATTTTGGAATTCAGAGACTATCCATTAGTGCAACCCTGCCTTCTTTTAGATTTTGTTTCGGATTTGATTCTCCTAACATTATTCCTTTTGGTTAATCCTCTGCTTTAGATAAGCATTCATATATGGCTGTAAATTGAAAAAAAATGATAAATAAAAATCTTACTAAAATTTAGTATGGACAAGTGTTTCAATACGTTTACTCATACCAAGGTCAAAAAAAAATTCCGTTTACTCATATAGGATTCTTATTGATGGATAATTTGTAAATATCTTTCAATTTTTTCAAATTAAATTATGAAGCTTTTCATTACTAATTTAGCAAACTAGCTCGTACCACAATCCAATTCGTTTAAAGTTTTATTTCCAAAATGATAAAATTAATTTTAAGCTTAAGGTACAAATTTGTTCTCAAAGTTTTCACTAGCACTCAAAAATTTTTTGGGTTGCAAATTTATTCCAAAATTTTAAAATTGCAATAATGTGGTCGCCTAGCTTTTAAAATATTAATTATCAATGTTAACGATAGGAAAAAATAATATTGTTACGATTTTAAATTATTGAGACAAATTTACATTAAAAAAAACTTATGGCTAGAGTATTTCTGAGTGAAAATTTTTGAGGCAGATATTCACCTTAACCCTTAATTTTCTTAATATTTTCAAACCTTTCCACGACATTTGACAATTCTGATGGGAACGTATATAAATTAACAATATGATAATATCTTTTTAAAGAAAACATGAAACACTATTTTGCCGTGAATAACGTTGATAAATTAGTCATAATTTGCAATTAAAATGGTCATATTCCACAATCCATTGGTCGTTTTATACTTTTATATATACACAAGTGGTAGTAATATGTGAGAAAAGATAAAAAAGTCATTTTCTTTAAGATGTGAGAATCTAGACCTTTCTGCCCAACTTGTAATTGGACCTTCCTTTCTCTCTCTCTCTCCCCCCTCTTCTCTCTCTACTGTCTTTAAAGCTTCCACACAGTCACCTCCAGTTTCGTCTCTAACCAAACTCACTCTCAGTCTCACGCAGCCACACACCATATAAAAAGCCTCAAAAACATTCACAAATTAGGAAGAACACGGACCTGATCTAGCTAACTATCTAGTCATGGTCTGCTACTTGATTCCTTTACTGACCTTTCTCTCTCCTCTCGTTTCTTCTCTCTCTCTCTCAAAAAGATGATCAGAAACTTTACTGATGAATTGATTGTTGCATTATTGTTGGTTTGATCGATGATCTGCAGGAAGTAGAAGATCATCAGCAATCAAACAGATGGGAAGGCTATGTGGACTGGAGAAACAAACCTGCTCTCAGAGGCCGCCATGGAGGCATGCTCGCCGCCTCCTTCGTTCTTCTCTCTCCCCCCCCCCTCTCTCTCTATATATATTCTCACACTTCCATGATTTGACTTTAAGCTTAACGTTGAAAACTTCATACTAATCTGACTCCTGAAGTGAAGTTCAACTATTTCACTCCGAGAGAAAGATTGTCTTGTTTGTGTTCCATATACAGAAATCAGATCTTAACATATCTATTGAATCCAGAAAGACTATTAGAAGCTGCATACAAGCTGTTCATAACTATACTATTTATGACTCTGTAAACTGTACTGCTTCCAATAACTTACATTTATTCATTGATTAAACTGTACTGCTTCCAATAACTTACATTTATTCATTGATTGATATTGTGTATGTATACACTTTTTTTGAAGTTGTGCTGTACTCTTTTTAAGGGTGATATACTGATTGGTACGGTTCTGAGGACTCTATCTTCACATGATTCTGATCAGTTTCTGTACGGATTGTGCTTGTTAATGAACGAAACTAGAAGTTACCCAGTTCATAAAATCATGAATAGCGCATCTGAGTTATTTTATGCAGAAGAGAGATGAATATATACAAGCACGTAGTAGATTGATGATGATGAGGAAGAAAATAATATTAATATGGATATGACTAATATAATATAATAATGCAGGGGTGGAGGTATTGGAGAATCTGGCATATCTGGCGAATGCGAGCAACTTGGTGCTGTACATGAGGCACTACATGCACTTCTCCCCATCACAGTCAGCCAATAATGTCACCAACTTCATGGGAACTGCCTTTCTTCTCGCCCTCCTCGGAGGTTTCTTGTCTGATGCTTTCTTCACCTCGTATCACATCTTCCTCACCAGCGCCGTTCTTGAGTTCCTCGTAAGCTTTTACCTATCCCCCCCCCTCTCTCTCTCTAATACACTTATATAAATAACTCGATTCCTAAAGAGCTGTTTAGTATAAAGCATTGAAAATGAGAGGTAAAGATTAAAATTGAGATTGGAAAAATCATTAAAGGAATTTTAGTACGAGGATTATTTTTTGCTTGGAATTAGACAAACCGTATTTCCCAATCTCACCTATATGGGTTTGCACAATCCTTAGCAATAAATGATCATTTATACTAAACATTCTTTTGATAGGTTTTCTCATCCCCAATCCCAAATTTTACCTCTTATTTTTATATTTCATGCCAAACGAAGCCTTACTTCTTGTTTCCATGGATCCAAATCATCAATATATACTCTATTTTGTCTTTTATTATAATTTCCTCTTACATGTTTCATAATATAACATGCTTTGTCTAAAATATTAATCTTTTCGACCTAGTATCATAACTTAATGTTAGACTTCATAACCAATTAACCAAAGGCCTCTAGCTAGTCCGTAAATGTAAGAGCTGGTTGGAGTTTAAGTTTGAATTTGAGTTTAGTCTAAAATATAAGACCTCGATCAATTTTATATCCTTATACTTATCATTTTTCCAAATTATTCTTATGTAGTACACATGCTAAGGGAGTTTTTGCAGATGATTTAATAGGATATTTTAGGAAACCGAGATATATTCTTGACAAATAATTAATTTAACTAATTCTCTTAATATATCTAAAGTAGTTAAGTAAATTTTGCATTATATTAAAGAGCGAAGCATATAGTTTGAGTCTCATTGCATTTGTTTTCTGCTGTTTTATATATTCACTGCTGATAGCTTTAGCACTTACTGTGTTTCCCATGTTAAGAGGAAGAGAGGAAATTAAGGCTTTAATTTATAGTATAAGGGGTTTATAGGATGATGTGTCTTAGAAGAAATACGTGTCTTGCAAGAGCATGATGTGATATAAGTTAATCAACTTGCAGACTTAGCTATTAATTATTAACTTGTGGGTAGATCGAATAATGTGACCAATCCCTATCATAGAATTAAAACAAGTAGGACCTATCTAAAGCTTTAGTGAGCATGATATGTACTTAAAACATTTTCTTTAAACAAAATTAAAAACTACAAGTAAATTTAGACAAATATGTGGGGTGAGGATGCCCACAAGGAAAAGAATGGTACTTTAAGCCATATTTAGAATGCTGAAATTCTTCTCCACAAGGCTAAAGTGAAAATATGTTTTGATATAAAATTTAGATTGAGAAAAACTGATAATTCTTTATTGTTCTACCAAAATAAAAAGTCATAAACACATTAATATTTATATTTAAATTATATATAAATATTTGGTGAATTTAATTGGATATATAGATGATAACATGTATGTATTCATACATTTATTTTCAAAGTTTGTATAAATTCAAAATGATTATATACACAACAAAATTATGTCCGGCTGGAATAGTTTAATTTAGCTGGAAGTGTGGGTAAATATGAACATGCTTGATTCCTATGGGGACAGCCATTATGATAAAATAGTTGTATTGGGATGTGCATATTCCTTCGTTCATGCTATATCTAGTTACTATTATTATTATTTTATTAAGAAAATTATCAATATTAATTAAATTAAGTGGTAATAGACTTAATCTCCTCTAAACAAAACCTTAAGTTTAAGGGTTATGAATAGAGAAAGTTATATTAAGGCTCTATGTGGAATGAGAAAAATGAAAGGGAGGGAAAATTTTAATGAACTTGATTTTAAAAAAAAATTAGAGAAGTGTGGTTACAAAATTAATTAATTTTGTTTACCTTTTTATCTTACATTTTCTCTTTATCAAAATTTTATAACCTCACTTCTTTAATTTTTTAATTCAAGTTCATTACAATAAATGTGAGTTATTTTTTTTATATCCCTTGTAATTGTTACCTCTTATTGATGAAAATCTCTATTAATATATGCTAACTATAGGGATAGTTTTAGAAAAATTTATGTATTTGAAAGACAAAATAAAATAAAGTCTTATATTTATTGGTATAAAAACAAATTTGTTAACTAACTCTTATATTTAAAAATTGAGGTTTCATTTTCTTTGGGCCAACATTAATTATGCTAATTGAGAAGTTGTCTTCCTTTCTGTTTTCAATAATCGCTTCACATCAAAATCACATTCTCATCTGTAGCAATTAAAAAAAATCTCATTCTCATCTGTGTAAGTAATTTTAGTATTTATAAGTTGTTGATAATTAATTTAATGTTAACTATACAAGATGTTTTGAAAATAAAATTATTCATATATTTATACTATTACTTTATTAAGGACAATTTTTTTGGATAATTTTATGCAAACAAATTAACTATTTGAAATTTCATGTATATCTAAATCTATTTCCAATTTGTTTTACTTTGAACCTATTCACATTATTGACCAAAAATAACAAGGAGAATATATATGTATATATATAAAAACAAACGAAATTAAAATAGGACAATCATGTTACATTATAGAGGTGCTGATGAAAACAAAAAGCTCATCATCTTAGGCAAATTCGAATGAGCTTCCGCAAATAAAGGAGGCGACGACAAGGAGGCGGATGAACCACGCGTATTCTGGGGCTGTCGTTTTGGTCGAGCATGTACATGTCTACCTCCTGTCCTCCTGCTTGGGACACCCACTACTATAAACGCCAACATCTTACAGTGACGTTTGATAACTAGCTAGCAGGTCGTTATGGTCATTGACATTGGTATAAATTATATATAAGAATTATATATCCTTATTCATCCGTGCCACGCCCAGTGGGGTTTGTGGGATCCATTTTTGCGTGCATCATCCCATTCAATCTCTAATTGATTCAGAAAATAATCTTATGACATTAAAATTTATAAACGACAATCAGATGTACTTCATTTTATAATATACACAAACCTGGCAAACATAGACGACAATCACATGATTCATGACAATTCCACAGATTCTTGTATTTAGTTTCTTCTAGACCATTAGTACTCTCTTTTTATTAAAACAGTATCATTATATAAGTCAGTAATTAGAATTTTCTCTTTCACCGGTTGTTTCTTTCCTATAATGTATGGTAGTATTTACAGGTTTTTTCCTTTATAAAAATAAAAAGAACTTTCTCTTTTACAACTGTTTCCATTTATATGTACTATTCATTACTTATGAATAAACGACTCTTTTTTAAACTCGTTGTATACTAAGTGTGAATGTAAGTACATGCAGGGCCTGAACATACTCACCATCCAAGCTCGGTCGCCGATGCTCAAGCCGCCGGAATGTGACCACAGAGTGAGCTCAACATGCCAACAAGTAGAAGGAGGAAAAGCAGCCATATTGTTCACTGGACTCTATCTGGTGGCTCTTGGAGTAGGAGGAATCAAAGGGTCATTGCCTTCACATGGTGCTGAGCAGTTTGATGAGACCACTTCATCTGGCAGGAAGCAGATATCTACCTTCTTTAACTACTTTGTCTTCTGCTTGGCCTGTGGAGCCCTAATTGCAGTCACTTTTGTGGTTTGGGTTGAAGACAACAAAGGCTGGGAATGGGGTTTTGCTATCTCCACCATTAGCATCTTTTTGTCCATTCCAATCTTCTTGGCTGGCTCTTCTTCTTATCGGATGAAGATCCCTTCTGGAAGTCCACTTACCACCATTTTTAAGGTACGTAATATTATAGATAACTGATTAATTTTCTTAATTTTTATAAATTAGTTATCTAGTTTTTATGTTTGGAACTAGAGAATGTACTTTTTTTAAGTTAGAAATGGATGGATGGGATGGATTGGCTCTTATTGAACACAAATCCAAATTATGCATATTTCATTTGTTTACACAAATCTCAATTTTTCTCTTTACCTCTTTTTCATAGCACCATATGTAGTACTATCTCAATTTTTAATATAAAAGCTATTTAACTAATTTGGATGGATTAAGAAAACAAGATAAGTTAGTTAATTATAATAAATATGATATGATTTTCTTAGAATAACCTTGCATAACATTAGATCATATATAGCCGTTTATAAGTTAAGTAAGTTAATTTGGGAGGAAACATAATATATTTATATATTATATTTAGCACCAAATCCAACTCTCCAACTAGTTCTTATATTGAAAACTAGAAGAAGTATTAAATCATTTACTATAATTAATGGCTTTGGATTGGACTTTATTGCATCTGGTTTCATTTGCCCATTTGATTAGGCTTTATCTTCTGTCCATAGGGGATTCAATCTGGTGTGTCTACTTACATGACCCTCTTCCTCACTCCCAAGAATGATTTGATTTTTTTTTTCTTTTACAATTCTTGTCTATTTTGAACGAGCAGGTTGTGGTTGCTGCTTCATTAAATAGCTGCATGCACAGAAATCCAAGCAGTGCAGTGGTGAATATGGTTTCAAGCCCTTCAAACCCAAACACAAGTAGAGAAGAAGAGGAAGAAGAGGAAGAAATCAAAGTAGTAATGACAACAGAAACACCATCAGACTCCCTCAGATTCCTTAATAATGCAGTAAAAAACAAACCATTCCATTCATCACTAGAATGCACTGTGCAACAAGTAGAAGATGTCAAAATAGTCGTAAAAATGCTACCTATATTTGCTTGCACCATCATGCTCAATTGTTGTCTTGCTCAGCTCTCAACTTTCTCAGTCCAACAAGCAGCAACCATGAACACTAAACTAGGTTCCCTCAAGGTTCCTCCAGCCTCGTTACCAGTTTTCCCAGTTCTCTGTATCATGATCCTAGCCCCTATCTATGACCACATCATAATTCCATTTGCTAGAAAAGCAACAAGAACAGAGATGGGTATTTCTCATCTTCGAAGAATTGGAATTGGGTTGGTCCTCTCTACAATTGCCATGGCTGTGGCTGCTTTTGTTGAGGTGAAAAGGAAAAGGGTGGCAATACAATCAGGGCTTTTCAATGAAACAACTAAGCCACTTCCAATTACGTTCTTTTGGATTGCATTGCAGTATTTGTTTCTGGGTTCTGCAGATCTCTTCTCTTTGGCTGGGTTGTTAGAATTTTTCTTCACAGAAGCACCAATAAAGATGAGATCTTTGGCCACTTCTCTTTCTTGGGCTTCTTTGGCTATGGGATATTACCTTAGTTCAGTGATTGTTTCGGTAGTGAATAGTGTCACAGGTAGCTCAAGCCACAGACCATGGCTTTCTGGTGGCAACCTAAATCACCATCACCTTGAAAGTTTCTATTGGCTCATGTGTGTGCTAAACGGGTTGAACTTTGTGATTTACCTCTTTTGGGCTTCCAGGTACAAATACAGAGCAAGTGGAAGTAGCGAATGAAGAAGAATGAGCTAAGTGGTCTATAAGTACTTTGTTTTATGAGGCCATTTGATCAAACAAAAGTTTCAAAGCATTCAGAGGCTGTGAATTCTTACAAGTGGGTTGATCAGCATTTTCCTTCTGCAGTAATATGTCGAGATATATTGAATAAGTAAACAAAGGACAGAAAAAAAAAAAAAAGAAACAAAATTGTGTTCACTGTAATCAAAATGGCTGTGATATCAATATTAATAGAGAATGGTTCTAAGGGGGTGTTTGGATAGAAACCAAACCATGGGTTCAAAAGTGCTTTTACGGATTACAAAGTAAATATGTGGAGGAGGTTACCTCGTTTTACGAAAAAGTAATTCTGAAACCACGGTTTTGGGGCATCCAAACAAGCCCTAAATTCTTATGTTCATTTCGTGCGTTCTTGCCTCTGAAATTGCGTCTTGGTCTATAACATTATAAATTTAAAGTCGATCACGCAACCGTATGGGGATGTAGCTCAGATGGTAGAGCGCTCGCTTAGCATGCGAGAGGTACGGGGATCGATACCCCGCATCTCCAGCAGCCCTTTATTTCGATTTTATGACAAATTTTAAATTGGGCCGTTTCGTAATGCTAAGCCCAAAGGTGACGTCGGGTATTCTTTTGTTTCTTATTGTGCCTTTATCTTGAACGGCCCATATTTTGAGCCTTATAGGTATATATAACAAACCGGGCTTTGACGATCAACATAGAGACGCAGACCTCACTAGTTCTCTTCTATTTTATTTATTTTTCTTAATGGCTCTTCATGGGTATGTTAATCACCTTCAATATAAGAGCTTTCAGAATCTCAATGGGCTTGTGAATATATGCAACTAATACTCATCAAATCTTGAAGGGAGATTTACTTGAAAATTTAACCATCTCAAAGGATTTGGATTGGATCTAGTTTAATAAGTATAAATGTTAAATTTTCTTCTGCCTTTTTATAATTTTTTGGCGAAATTTACGTCAAACGTTTATGAATTTAAACCACGTACAATATGCATGTAATCCTCTCAAATTTTACATTACATGTAGATAATCCTATAAATTTTTGAGTCATTTATAAATTGATAATGAACAAAACTAATAATATAGGAATTATCCGCATGAATACAAAAGTTAAGGGGAGTTTATCATAAAATTTGAAAGATTAGAAAGGTTATTTAGTAGTTAAGGGAATTTTGTATGATTTAGTTTTTCCCCCCTAAGTTTAGGTGACAATTTTCTTCCAACACATTTAAAAGTTAATTAAGTGTGGCGTTTGTTGCCTTAGATCCTATTTGTTTTAACCCTTTTTTTTCCTTCTTCTCGTAAGCTGCTAGTCGCCATTTGAAGAATTCTGTTTGGTTTGGTTACACCAATTCTGGACACATATAACTTTATTTTTATAATTTTTAATACTTCAATGGGTATATAATTTAAAATAATGATTATTATTTAATTTCATATCTTTTTAAAATAATTTTTTATTTAAAAACCTAACCATAAAAATTTTATATCTAAATAAACTGTTGAAATTGTGTTTAAACTATGCAAATTTCATCACACTATACCATGCAAATTATATTTAAATGATGCAAATCTCACTGCAATGATTTGCTATAAAGGTGTTCATGAGGTACATGTGTCCTGTCCCGAAAACACTCAAAAGACAATATTTTTGTCTCGTGTCTCGTTCCATCTCAAAGATATCTTAGTCCCAAACGGGACGAGGATGTAACCGAGATAAATTAGGACGTCCCGACATAAAAAACAAAACCCAATTGAACAGCATTTAGGAAAATAGAAGAGCAAAAGAAAGAAGAAGAAAACATTGAGAAAAATAGAAGAGTGAAAGAAGCAAAAATAAATCTTAAACCTTAGTTTGTGTTGTATATTTCAATCGTTTACACCAAATATAAAAAAATAAAAATTAACAAAATAGCGAGCGCATGAAAATCAAGATCTACCTCACGATTGCCGCTCTTTAAATCCTCCATCCTTGATGCTCATCTCCCCTTCACTATTTCAATCCCACTATTCTTTATCCATCCACTTCGCTCTCTAAAAACGCCTTCATAAAAAAATCGCGAGTGGTTTCTTTTAAGCAATGATTCGTTGGCTTTTCTTTCAATTTTTTGAACTCATATATGCAAATCATATGGGTTTTTGAATAGAGAAGAGAGGGAGAGGGAAACAAATCGGATCTTGAATATGAATTATAAAATATTGAGAAAAAGATCAAAATACCATCTTCTTCTCTTTCTTCTATTTAATCCTCTCTTTCTCTTTCCTTCTTTTTTTTTTTTTCTTCTCCCTCTCTTCGTCCTTCTCTTTCCTCCACCTCTCTTGCCTCTTTCCTTCTCCTTCTCTAGCAATTTACAAGATGTCTTTAGATTTTGTTCAATAGAAAGTTCAGTTTTATGCTTCACTTGGCTGATAATAATACGCCCATACTGCAACTGCTACATCCTTCTTGTTTTTTTTTTTTTTCCCAACATTGATTCCTCTTAATTTACTTTTTAGATATGCTTAAAGAAGCTACTTGGGTAGGGCTCGGATGAGTTGTTACTTGTGAATGGTAGGACAAGAGAATAATCAATATTATTGTAATGAATATTCATCGAGAGTGTAGAAGATTAAATCATTGATCAAATTTCTTGTCCGAAATGATATACATCTAATTTGTTACTAAGCTTTTATTGTTGTAGAAATTGGCGTTATTTTCACAATTTAATTGCTAAGGACAAGCCTAGTATAAAAAATAAAAAGTGTTGAAAAACTATTGATATTAACTTTAAGTTTTAGCAGAAATTGGTATTATTTTCATAATTTAGTTGCTACTGATAAGTCTAGTACGGGAAATAACAAGTGTTAAAAAGCTATTGATATTAAGTTGAGTTTTAGCAAAAATTGTCATTATTTCTACAATTTAGTTGTCAATAACTAGTCTAGTATATGAAATAACAAGTGTTAAAAAGCTATTTATATTAACTTAAGTTTTAGTAGAAATTGGCATTGTTTTCACCACTTAGTTGCCAATGACAAATCTAATATGAGAAATAACAAGTGTTGAAAAATTATTCACATTAACTTAAGTTTTAGCAAAACTTAGCATTGTTTTCACAATTTAGATGGCAATAGCAAATCCTGCATACCAAATGACAATTTGTAAATTCTAAATTGCCAGTTTAGTTTTAGCATGGTTTGGTGAGCAAGATCTCAAACCTAGAATCATTTGAGTTAGGCATATTAATTGTGACCACTAAAACTATATTCTAGGCATAAATTTTTTTGCGGGAAATAATGTGAATGTATGCACACAATTAGCTATATATCATTTCAAAAATATATACATAATTGTCATTAATAATTAATAAGTGTGCTGAGTAATTATTAATACAAAGTCAAAGTATATTAAATCTAAGTTAAATGCACCAACACTATCTACCATTTATCCCAAGAGTCAGTCTCCTTTTTTTGGCCTTTCCTCTATTGCTTGGCTATGGAAGCTTCTTCAAAACATCATCACGCCATTCATTGAGCTCATAGTCGATCAACCACTACATAAGATCGTGGTGAAAAGTTGACACTTCAACTTGAATAACAAATTCAACACTCAACTTTGTAAATAACATATAAAGTATAAAAAATCACAACTTTGCAAATAATAGCCAATATTTTAAAAGCCGGACCGGATGTTGGACTAGAGAGATTAGCAGTTCATAGATCTTATGGTCTGACTGATTAGACTGATGGTTGAATCGGTAATGTAATAATTAAATAAAAAATAATATTATATATAATATAAATATAAAAATAAATGCAAAATTCTTACTCCTTCTGGATCAAAATATAAGCTAAACTTTATCTATTTATGTTTATCAAGAAATTAGTTAAAATCAGTTTAAAATAATAAATATGCAAGGCATGTATTTTTTCTTTCCAAATATGCCCTTATTAATAAAGAGAATAAATACAAGATGTAATAAATGAATCAAAAAGGAAAGAGAATATATGTAGGGTAAAATTGGAAAAAATTCATTAAATGCTTAGATAAAAGTGAATATTATCTTATAAAAAAATCAAACATCTACAATAAAGTTTAGCTTATATTTTGAACCGGAGGAAGTATATGAGTAGAGAATAAATATAAACAAGCTAACATGTATCAATATCTGTCCCAACCTTAAGATCCCAACACAATAAAATTATTAAAATAAAATTTTTTAACACCATGCCCTCTAGATATGATATTGTAATAGTATTCATGTTTCATTTTCTTACATATTAGCGTAAAATAGTTTTTTTTTTTTAAAAAAATCATTCTACTGTAAACTAAAATCCACAATCCCTGCTCATCGCATGATGAGCAGCGTTTGGGAATGAGATACCACTTCCTTTTTTTCATTATTTTTATTTTTATTTATTTGGGTGAACTTGCACTTACCCCCTCCATTCCTTATTATAAGAGACAAATAACCAAATTAAGTTAATAAAAAAAATTAAAATTAGTTGAGGACAATTAATATGTAAAAAGTATAATATTTTTTCTAACAATACCCCCATTAATAAGGAGAGAGTATGAGAGAGGACAATTAAATTATTAAAAGAAAGAGAAGTGGGAGGGAGAGAGAGTATGAGTTGGAGACAAAATAAATAGAGGTAAAATAGGAAATTGATACAAAAAAATAGAGACAACTTTTAAGTGTCTCTTATATATGGAACATGCCATAAGTATCAAATGTCTCTTATAATAAGGAACGGAGGGAGTAGTATTTTAACTCAGTATCCCAAATTACTTAATTTTTAATATATTCAGAGTATTTTTTTCAGTTGGTGATATTACTAAAAAATACTTTATGGTGTTAAATGCACTAAAAATCAATTTAGAATGCTGTGTATTACAGAAAAAATATTTTAGAATACTAGATACAGTAAAAATTAATTAATTAGGGATATTGGATGTTACTGAAAAATACTTTTAGAATACTGAATGCACTAAAAGTTAATTAATTTAGGATATCAAGTCCTACTATAAAAATAATTTAGAGTTCTAGATGCACTAAAAAATAATTAATTTATGATACCAAGTGCAACTGGAAAAATGATTTAAAATGTTAAATGCACTAGAAATTAATTAATTAAGATACTGAATGTTACTGAAAAATATTCTAGAATGCTGGATACACTAAATATTTACCTAAATAAAACTAAAAGAAATAAAAATTATTTTTTAAAAAAAGGGTCTCATCCCCAAACGTTGTCGTTTGGGGATGAGCAACGCCTGGCCATAGATACGATCATCTGGGGGATGAACATGCACTGTTCAGAGATGCGCTGAGCGAGACATGCCCCTCCCTGTAAACTATGCATGTCAAGGTTTTTCTTTTCAATTTCCGCTTCCCAAGATGCATTAAAATGTAGTTTTTCTATCAGACTTTGATTTAAAGTTTTTTATAGTGTTCCACTCCAAAATCAAAATAGGAGATGGCTTCGACGACAACTCTGGCAAATCCAAAAGCCACGGTGAAGGCCATCCCTATCTATCTTCTTTGTTTTCTCTGCCAACTAGCATTTCTTTTCATGGTCAAGCTCTAATTTTTCTCTCATTTCCTTTGATAACATAAGTTTTGATCCTATAGTTAGAATTTATTTTGTTTTCTGTTAAGTTCTTCTTCTTTTTTCTTCTTCCACATTCTTCCTTTTTCTTTTCTTCTTCTTCGCATCTCACTAACAAGTCTTCCAAACGTTAGTGTGAGACAAAGTTGGCCATTCGACTTTTGTAAAACCGTTTCGGCTCGTGGGTTATCACCGGCTTCCGATCCAAAAGGCAATTGGAAGTGACTTGAAGCAGCTGAAATGGTAAAAAGAGCAAATCAGTTGAGACGAGCTATGGTGATTGATGACCGACAGTCAGACCGGTTCAGCTGTCTGATCCAGGTCGAGTTTTAAATCATTGATAACAATTATTCCAACTAACATGATGTATAATATAAAAAAGGTTAATATAATTTTTGGTTCTTTAAGTTTGCCCTCATTTTGATTTTAGTCCCTCAAATTTCAAAATATAGGTTTTGGTCCCTCTAGGAGCAAAATGGTCCAAGTTTTTATTGGGTTATAAGGACTAATGTTTTAAATAAAAAGATATTTGAGGGACCAAAACCTATTGTTTGAAATTTGAGTGACTAAAACTAAATCGAAGGCCAACTTGAGATATCAAAGTTTATATTAACCCATATAAAAATAACAATTGAAATATAACAAATCAAAATTATGCAAATAATAATTATTCTAAGTAACAAAACTGAATATGAAAATAACAAGTTTATTATTGTAAATAACAAGTGAAATATAACAAGTGAAATATAACAAATCACAACTCTGTGAGTAACAACTATTTCAAGTAACAAAATTGAATATAGAAATAACAAATTCACTATTATAAATAACAAGTGAAGTAAAACAAGTTTGCTAAACATGGAAAGAGAAGATGGATGATGCCAAATATATTCAAAATTGTTTTTTTTCCCCAAAGAAATAGGAGAATATAATACTACGCTTTTTCAAGAAGATATCAATATCACAAAATGTTAACAGAGCCTTTTTGACCAGGTATTCAAGGCATGTCGGAGCATATAGAAAACCACAGTAGCCTTCTCTTAATACTCCAAGCTTGCCGGATGAAATCTTTCTTGACAAATATATTGCTATACATAATATAGATATGAATTCTTTTGTTGACTCAGATGACACGTTCTTAGGACAAAATACCATCTTCCAGTTTTCTAGGCCGGTGGAAGAGTGAAAAATTGATGACTGACTAGCTCCAGATTATTAATTTAAATACACTCAGGGGAAGTTTTGCTAACGGAGAAAATATCCTCCCAAATAAATAGTCCAACCTGTTCTCTTTATAAAGAAGAGTATGAATCAATTAAGTAGACATTAAAACAAACAAAAACAAGCTAACATACCCGAACAATATATTCCCAAACACAAAGCAAAATACTCTTCTTCTTCTTCTTTTTTAAATAACGTTCTCTATTTTTCCTATACATCCATTTTGGTTGGATTTTCAATGAATATATTTCTATTGAATCTTGAATGTATGCTTGCAAATTGTGAATTGCAAAGCATATCATCATGAGATTCAACAATAAATTTAAGCATCTAATCAGACTTCGGACAAGTATGTAAGAGGCAAGAGCATGTTGATTCTGAGACTTCTTCACAGTTTTCCCAAACAGAGCTCCCCAGCCATTCAGAAAGCAAAGAGGTGGAGGAAGAGGGAAAAGTGAAAGCTGTACCTGCTTGGCGTTGAAGCTGAGACAGAGTGAGGGGTGAGGGGTGAGGGTTGAGGGATACGACGTTCAACTCTAAACAAGGAGTCGGTAGCAGTGTCGACGGAGTAAGAGGATTTAGGGAACAGAGGAAGGATTGGAGGAGGACTATTCTCTCATCTCTCATCGGTGTTGAGGAACAAACGAAGGGTTGGGAAAAAGGATAAGGGTAGAGCTGCATATAGGTAGAGCTGGGCAGGACGCTTACCTGATACCCAGTCCAAAGAATGAACAGGCTACAGAATGCAGCTTATTGCCAGCCCTATCTGTGAAAAGCCCTAATAAATTTCAGTTGGGTAAATATGAGTTGGGCAGGATGGGCGTTTGTACCTAACAAGTCAACATATTATATTAATTAACTATTAACTAATTATTTATATTCCTCTAAGTAATCTAATGTAACTTTGTATTAAAATGATAACTTGGCCTTAATTTAGTTATTTCTAATTAACTTACTGTTAAACTAAATTTTGTAGTAGTTAAAAAGAGTGGGCTATGACAAGAAAAATGTTGTTAGTATATTTTGTTAAATTTAATTGCTTTTCTAGTTTTTAAAATTTCTTAACAAAATTTGAATATTCTTTTTTTTTTCCATACCTCCCAAATGCTCATAAGAGGATGGAATTAGTTATATTTTAAAAAACTCTTTGTTTTGGTTTAATAAATTTTTAAAGTATCCTGATTAGCTTTTAATTTTAACCAAACGAAGATAGTAATTTTTAAAAAACAAGAAGTAAAACAAATTTCAAACTAACTCAATTATCCTTCCATAGGTAGTATATTAAAGTCATGCTCAAAATAAATAATATATAATTACTTATTTACCAATATACAAATTGTCAATGGTCATAATGTTTGCATTAAAAATGATAAGATGTCTAATTCTCATAATCATTCGAAAATAAATAAGTATAGTGAATACTGATGCAAAAGTAGGTTTGATTTATGAGGTAATTAGGAGGCAAATAATATATATAATTATACATATTTTTGTGGGCAGGGCAGCATGCCATATCCAATGTCTGACCCTACCAAACAATTTGCCAAACTCGAACATATCCAACATTTCTTTCGGGTCATTTTTTTAGGACGAGCTGGGCATCTTTTGTGAGTTTGGGTAAGCATACTAGGCAAGCAGGCTATATGAACACCCCTACATAAGGGTATTTTTGTCTTTTAACCAACATTTCATAATTCCTATTTAGAATTGGATATCTAACAAGACTTATATAAATTCAAGAACTCAAATCATAATTTTATATGTTCTAGAGTCTTTATTTGCAATTTCTCCTAAATCATGAAGTTTGTGTTTAATTTTGAGTTAATACAACTTTTATTCTTAAGTTTGCCCTCATTTTAGTTTTGTTTTTTCAAATTTCAAATCATGAGTTTTGGTCCCTCAACTTTTCTTTTCATTTGAAATATTGGTCCTCATTATTTGAAAAAAAAAAATCATTTTACCCATTGAGGGACAAAATTTATAGTCTGAAATTTAAGAGATTGAAACCAAAATAAAAGCAAATTTGAAGTACCCAAGATTATATTGACCCTTAATTTTTCTTTAATAGCTATGGGTGACTTTTCATTAAAAATTGACCAAAACATTTTTAAAAAAAAATGACAAAAAAATCATACCATTAAAAAAAAAAGAAAAAACTGTTGAGATGAACATGCAAAACGGCGCGCGTGACTTCTTCAATTCTGAATTAGAGTTTTTACTATAATCTGTTTTTGGTAAATGTCTTTCCATGGGTAGTTTGATGAAGAATTTGCGTTTCAAGGCATCAGAAACAGATCGCGATGCAAGACGAACGAGACGCTTTTTACTTGCAATTCCAACATTGAATCTTCCTCACACTCCTCCTTGATTCTCTTTCTCCCTACCATTCTGCTTCATCCTTCTTCAGGTGAAAGAAATTCCATTTTCTCTTGCTTGCTCTTTTATCTCTTAAATATCAATATTATTGCTATCGTCATTTCTTTGTTCCATGTCCTGCATTAATTGATTCTCAGTTCTCAATTTTTGCTCTTGCTATTTCCAAACCAGTTTTTATTTATGGCATATCGAAATAAACTCCTCTTATGTTTAATGTTGTTATAATATTTTTTTTTAATTTTTCAATATTATTTGCTGCCTATTAGTGAAGTTTTACATTGATAATCGTTGTCATTGTTGAGAATAATTTACTGCCACTTTTCAATTTTCTTTTTCTTTCTCCTTTTAGTTCGAATCATTGCACAATTACTTCTTTATTAGTTTGCTTTTGAATGAATTATCCTTAATCTTCAAACGAATATGAGGCCAATGCGTAGGAACAAACAGCTATGCACATTAACGTGAAGGATTTAGGGCTTTAGTTCAATCCCAATTAGAATATTTACTGGTGCTTTTCATTGATATTTAAACATCCCACTGGAAAAAAAAGAAGAAAAAACTAAGTAATGCAGGCACCAACCCATATGCAGAGATTTCAATATTTAGTAACCATATTTTCATGGCCGTACAAGGACATGAATGAAGAACAATCAATATTCACATCTTATAACAATTTATCTAGCAATAATTTCCTATAAATGATTAAATGAGCTGCAGACATATATGACAAGAAAAATTAGTCATATTAGTGTGAAGTGTAAATTCATCAATATCATCTTATTTGTTGGTCCATTGCACATTATTTTATTCTATCTGATATACATTATTGGGACTTCTCAAATAAACTTTGCAGGTATTTTCACTGGCACAATGAATTTTTTGATGCGATCTTCTGCACATGTATCTATAGAACGCGCAAATATTCCCCCTATCCCTGAATCACAAACAGATATATATAGTAGATCAACAACTGGAGCAAGTTTGGAATCCTTTATATCTGAAGATCCATATACACGTTATTCTGCAACTGAAGAGCATGATGGAGAAATGAGTGGAGTTGGAAGTGAAAGTAGCAGCAAGACTGGTCGAAATTCAAAGGATGAGTTATTTAAGCACTCTGACGTCTCAGAAGAAGAAGGATGGATTACAATTCCATATAGTATGTGATCACCATTGACCTTGTTCATGTATTGTTTTCTGATCTTGGCATGAGACCTGAGATTTGGATGTTATTACGAAGACTTGATCTATATCCAAGCCTAGAATTTTTTGTCCATTGGACCTAATAAATTTAAGCTGCGCTTACATGTTCTATAGGTTAACATCAGTTCAGGATAACTATTTTATCATAAATTTCAACCCTTTAAAACACACACACCCACACAAGAGGGCAAAGCTAGATGTTAGACTGAAATCCAACACGTATGGAATATGTTGCCAAAGTTGATTGAATATCATGAATTAGCATGAATAAAATATATTTGGAGTGTTAGATGACACTTGGTCTGCCTAGGCCTATCAAGAGAATTTATTAACTAACTTATTAATTTATACAAAGTACGTTATCATGATTCTAAACATGAAGTAACAGAGAAGCTGTAAAGAATGCTTCTATTTGCATAGTGGTAATTCAGATTCTTGAGTAAAATTTGATAACTAGGTGGAGCAGTTGTGTTTCTCCTTGGTTATAATAATTGCATAAATTGAGATTATTCCAATGTCCCCTTCAATGCCTTTAATGCGTTAAATTTTTTTTGTTGTGTACGTAATGGACTCGTCGCATGAATATAACTATAATTAGAATATGGTTTTTGTTGGCATAATCACATTATGCCCATTATTTCTAGTTATCTTCATTAAAAATACTGAAAAGTAGTTTCTTTTTAAGTTATTACTCTTATACATGACCTTAAAAGGGAGATTGGTTTGAATTTCTTATGTGGTGCTTCTAACTTTCAATATTCTTTTTACAGAGGAAATCCCTGAAAATTGGAACCAGACGTCAGACATAGAATCCCTACGTTATCTTGACCGTTCCTTTCTTTTCCCTGGTAATAGATTCTTTCCTTCTTTAAATACATGAACATGAATATCACTTTTAGAGTGCATGGATTGATCTCTCAGGTGCCATGAAAAATTGACTACACCTAAGTTATACGTATAATTCAGGTGAACAAATTCATATCCTAGCATGCTTGTCTGCATGTAACCAGGATAGTGAGATTATTACTCCATTTAAAATTGCTGCGGTGATGATTAAGAATGGCATCGGCCACAGCTCTGAGGGAGAGCATGAATATGTTGAACATGGAAATAATTTAATATCAAAGGAAGCGGAAATGAGTCCTAGTAGTCAAGAGACAAACTGTGAATCTCTTCTTAGGATGGAGGAGCACAAAAGAAGAACTGAGTCGTTATTGCAAACATTTGAGAATTCTCATTTCTTTATGAGAATTGCTGAATCTGATGAGCCACTTTGGTCCAAAAGAGATGTTTCAGAACAAATTTCCAACTCAACTGAAACAAAAAGTCAAAAGACCTCAACAATTGGAATCAAAGCAGCTGCAATAAAGAAGTCTTCTATTAGTACAATTATTGATAGAGGAAAGTTTGATACAACCATATCTAGTGGAATGGCTAGAAATTCTACTAAATGTTTCGCTCTTCCTAATGGAGACATAGTGGTATGTGCTATAAAACTTATGAAACTATGATAATGCATTTTTTGTTATAGGATTTCTTGTTATTACATTCATGATAGAAATCATGGAAATTGCGATATTTTCTTTTTCCTATCCTTCTTTGGCTGAGAATCACAAACTGTTTGGCCCTATTAGTTATAGGTCTAGGAGCCTAATTAATGTTAGAGTCTCATTTAATTTTAGGAGTTAAATGGCATTCATATTCAGGATGTACTGTATCACCTTGTTTCTTTGCTAGAGGATAAATCCACAAAGATAGGCTAGGTCAACATTTTTCATATGGTGAAGGAACTTTGTTTACTTTCTTCTAGTCTCCTTTGTATTATTTTATTACTATGACCATATTGGTTTATTTTCTTTGTCAACAAGCATATCGTGGATGGAAAAATAATATATTTTATGTTTAGGGTATTGTTTTGCAGATACATTATTTGTCCTTGCTTCTATTAGACTTCAGGGAACCAAGGATAGGATTTTTCTATACTTTGTTCAAATTGTGAGTGAAAGTCATGGAGGATGGTTCTATTAATTATTTCATACTAGATTTCGTTGAATCTAAGCTATGAATTTTTATTTTACGTTTAGCATTAGTCCATCTTTCAGCAGTATTATTTTGTCAACATTTACAACCTCTGCTTTTATAATTTTGTGAAATTTGGCTAGGAAACCTTGTTAGATAAAAAACATGCTTCTTGTACAGCTTGAGAAATTTTGTTTCTAATATGAAAGCCTTGTTGTTCATGATTGGTTGACTTTTTTTTACTGATTACTAATTTGATCTATTTTACTGCTTGGAAGGATGCAGGTTCTTTTACAGGTAAATGTTGGTGTTAATTTTCTTAGAGACCCTTGCATAGAAATTCTCCAATTTGAAAAGTTTGAGGAGAAAATTTTGTCTCCTAAGAACCAGTATAATTCATTTTCTACCAAAAAGCAACCATGTGAAGAACTATTAAAATGGCTACTTCCTTTAGATAATATTACTCCTTCTCCAGCTCGATCCTTGTCACCTCCTCATTTAAGTTCCAATCCAGCAATTGGTATTACTGTTCAGAGATCTAACTATTCAACAGCGTCTGGCTCCCAGCTATTCTCCTTTACCCATTTTAGAAGTTACTCCATGTCATCATTACCTCATAACACAAACTTGCCAACTGCACCTATTAAAGCAGCTAGTTCTAAGCCAAGCTTTGACCTTAATGATTGGGATCCACAGAAGTTTTTAAGAAAGAATGCCAAGGCAGAAGAACTTTTATCTTTTCGAGGTGTCTCATTAGAGAGAGAAAGATTTTCTGTTCAGTGTGGATTAGAAGGCATCTATACACCAGGAAGAAAGTGGAGAAGAAAGATCGAAATAATTCAACCTGTAGAAATTCATTCCTTCCATGCCGACTGCAACTCAGAGGATCTTCTTTGTGTGGAGATTAAGGTGTGAATTGTGTTATAAATTGATCTATTTATTTGATTATTACATTTTCTCTAATAAATCAGGCCAGCATCTTGTTCAACTTTTGCTTTTATCAATATTTTTAAAGTTGTTTGCCAGAATGTTGCTCCAGCACATGTTCCAGATATTGTGATATTTGTAGATGCCATATCACTTGTCTTTGGGGAGGCTACGGACAGCGGAACACCTTCATCATTACCAATTGCATGCATTGAAGCTGGAAACGACCATTCTTTACCAAATCTATCTCTCAGGTTGTATTTTTTGTTTGCATTTATTGTTGTTTATCTTTTTATTTATCAGATGTAATGTTCAACATTGAACGCAACCAAACTTACATGTGTTTGCTATCAACATCAGTAAATAAAAATCTATATGTAGTTTAAATTGGTTTTGTCAATGAAGACTATAGGTTCAGAAAGTAGCTATAATATACTCTTTCATTCAGCTTTTTTTATAGTGAAAATTTAAATTTTTAGTCTTAAGAACTTATTAAGAAATGTGTAACAATTTGGAAAAGTTGTCTTTACTCAATTATATGGTGAAGAATGACAATTAAACAAGCTGACAATGGCCTCATATCAATTTAGGAGGAGCAAGAAACTTGCTTTTTTTTCCTTTTTAGATGGCAAAATAATAATAAAAAGGAGGATAAAACTACAAGGAGGTTGGTATATTTCCTACAAACTGGAGAAACAATGAGCCATAAAGGCTCATAATCACAAAAAAACTATTTAGGTCCTTTGAATATCAGTATTAAAGATTATATAAAAATAGGTATGAGCATCGGAACTAAGAGAAGCCATAAACACAAACATGTCCAAAATAACATGTAAGGAATACTTTGTCATTAAACAGTTCATGTATCCCATTAAAATCATATTTAAATCTTAAAATCTTACACAAAACTTCATTAGCATAAATGTTTGAGAAACTCTTTATTGTTAGCATTTTGGTTGTAAAATGAAGTTGTAGGGCTATGGGATGCAAGAGAACTTACCTATTAGATGTCTCAGTTGTAATTTGGAAAACTGATATTCATTTGTTGATTCATTTTTTATTCTACAAACAACTATAGATAACAAGCACAATACTACTGTTGTGTAAGTTTGTGATTGGCAAAAGACCAATTAACTTTGCTAGTTGAAAGATTTTAATGTATATTTATCCATAAAAATAAGAAAAAATATCATTTTGAAAGAAGTTGTTCAGAGATGCTATTAAAATGCTTAGGGTTTACAAAACAATAAAAAATTGCATGAAGTATTTGACTTAGATATTTTAAACATAGAGGGAAGTAAATAAGGTTATGTAATGAGGCTATTTCCAGGCTAATAATTGGCATCTAGCTTATTATTATTTATAGTCCATTTTAGTTATGTTGAAGAAGTACTTCACTACATACTTTTGATCTTCGTGATTATTGCCTCCTTTTCTTTTTAATCTTTTTTTGGGCTTTTTATCCAAAAACATTTCAAGCCCATTGCATGGATAAAACATCAATGCTAGATATTATAATATACTTAGGAATACCTTATCTTTTTTAATCCAAAAAATGATAGCTCTGTAAGCAAAGATATTGTGTATTCTCTTGAATGTACAAATGTTTCCTCTTTGGTGTTTAAATCCTAATAAAAGAAAGAGACCTAATTAAGGTCCATGCCATTTGGAACTTGATATTGCTAATAAGATTAAACTATCATCTCATTATCACAGGAGAGGGGAAGAACATTCTTTTATACTTAAACCAGCAATTTCTATGTGGAAAAATATAGAGATTCAAGGGAAGAATTCTCAGTCATCAAAGTTTCAATCTGCAAGACTAGCACCAAAATTGAATATTTCCACCAACAATCTTGAAAGAAGAAAAATTGCTATAATTGATGATAAATATGCTATTATGGTATCATGCCGATGCAACTATACAGGTGAGATTTGTCCCCTCACTTTGTTGTGGACTCTAATGAGTGTTAAGAGGTTAATCAATTGTTCTTTTTCCATTGTTTTCTTCTTAAACTAGCATCAAGGTTATTCTTTAAGCATCCAACCAGTTGGCAACCACGTACTTCAAGGGATATTATGATAACTGTTGCATCTGAGATGTCAAGACATTGTCTTGCATCTAATGAAAGAAACTCCCAACTTCCTATCCAGGTCTGTATGCATGCATAACTGTTCAGTATCTCAAATTTGGGACTTTACATTGGAGTTCATTTTTATTTACATGTATTACTTAGTAAATATAATGAGTTGAATGGCCATTGATGTCAGGTTTTAACTCTTGAAGTTTCTAATTTGACATCAGAAGATCTAACTTTAACAGTACTGGCTCCGGCCTCGTTTACTTCACCACCTTCAGTGGTTTCACTTAATTCACCAACCACACCTGTGAGTCCTTTTGTTGGGTTCACAGAATGTTTGGGGAGAGTCAATAGTGAAAGACACGATGGTGAAGAGTGTGAGAAACAAAAAGACAATGACGTACCTCAGACTGATTCCATTAATGATGATATTGTCCCCAACTCTGACTTGATTTGTTCACATCTATGGCTACATAGTAGAGTTCCTTTAGGGTAATATATCATATCTTTTTTTATTACTTTAAAATTTGTGTTTAAAATGATATTGGTCATAACTATTTATGGCCCACAACAGACCTACTCCATCTCAATCTTCAGCCACCATCAAGCTCGAGCTACTTCCATTGATTGATGGTATAATTATACTTGACACTCTACAAATTGAGGTAAAAGAAAAAGGTATACATACTATTCTTTTTTTACTTAATTGCATCCTTGATCTTCCTTAAGAATTCGTACTTCTGTTCAAAGATGTCTTCCATCTCTTTCTAATTGCCATGTTTTTATGCTTTCAAAATGTTGGCTTCCAATCATGATGCAAAATGCTAAATTTCTCTTGTTTATCATGGGTCTAGCAGGTGTTACATATGCCTCTGAGTGCTCACTAAAGGTAAATGCAACTTCCAGCATTTTTTGCGGGGATTAATTTAAATGAGATTTCGGATGGTCTCATTGCCTATCATGTTTTGTTCAAAGTAATAGAAATAGTCTTGATGAATTTCTCTCACTAGTACAAAGTAAGTTCCATTGCTGTAGTATGGTAATGGTGTTGGCAAGTTAATTTCTTTTTTAAAGTCTGACTTCACTTTTTTATTGTAACCATGAGCTTGAAAAGTATTATTGTTACATATCCCTTTAAGGGAAAGAATGTAATGTTAATATATAAGTTTTTTTCCTTATTTTTTTTTTTTTTTGCTCTGGATTGTACTTGTCTAACACTTTGTGAGTGAAAGCAATGAATCTTTTTTTTTGATATCAGTAGTTGCCTTTTTGTTGCATTTTCTATAGATTATCCAACTTTTAACTTGTAAGTTTTCTTGTATTTTGTTGTGATTTCAATTCATCTCGATAACATATGAGAGAGTGCATAATGGTCTGTACTCTATTGAAGCCTCCTTAAGGTTTAAAGATTTCTTATTTCAAGCTCTTTGTTGCTTTTATCTTATTCAAAAGAAATAAATATACAAGTATTACGTTTTCAAAAAAAAATCAAAAGCTTAAATGAGTTGGATTTTAAGAACTTATTTGAGTTTGAGGACTCATATTAGTAATGAGATTTGAATTCATGTCTTTATGAATATATGAACCAACTTTTAATCAATTGAATCAACTTTCATTGGCAAGCAACAATTTTGGATATGTAGATTACAAGTCTTAGCCTCATTTAAGCTAATACCATGATGTTACTTTGGATTTAGCATGGCTTTAAGACTTTGGTCAATAATAAGGAATGATGAACAGCTTTTAAGAAAACTAAAGAACTTGAGTATTTCTTTTTATATCATCCTAATTTTCAAGAGATATATATATATATATATATAATTTATAAATTATTGTGTTTTCTTCACATCAACTTGCAAATCTTTCAGCCTTGTATCGCATAAAATCTTAATAAAAGCACAAAATGTCACATTCAATATAAGAAAATATAATTCTGACAAGAAGATTCAGCTATCAAAATTCATATAAAAATGGATTCAATGCAACAATTACATAAGGAAATGGTAGAAAAGAGAAAAAGGAGAGTCAGAAGATAAGACAAGAAAGGTAGGAAAATAATAGCCATAGGAAAAATTAAAAAACATTCTTTCATGGAAAAGAAAAATCTTAACCACCTCCCTTATTCTATTAGCTACATCATCATTTATCCTTTGCTTCTACAAGCTCAAAGCTTCCATGGCTTTTTCCTCACATGCAAACTTATTCTTAGGTCCTTAATGGAATACAACAATAACATGTATACTTTTAAAAAACCTGAAACATCATTCCTTAAACCCTTTTTAATACACGTTTGGAAGTATTACGGTTCAAGCAATTTACGAAACAAGCCTATAGATTGAAAATTTAAAAGTAAATTCTCAGGTTACTATTCACTAGTTAATTCCAAATTTTCGGTCCAACTTTAAAAAATCATAAGTAATTATAGAAAAATTGTATTGAAATGGTTCAAAATTATATTTGAAGCTCTTTCAATTCTTTGCAAGAAAAAAAAATACAAAACTAGACTTAGCTGTTGCCAATTCATACAGTTCATTCATGAAAATTTACTATTTATTTGGTAAAAACTGTACTTTCCAATTTCTCTGCTTGAACTTTGATTAACCATAACTCTTAGTACACACATCCATTTTAAGTAATCTATCACTTGTTTTAAAGCTCATGATGTTTACTTTAGTGTTACCAAATTTCATGGGTAGATTCTTTCATTTTCCTTCCTTCCATTCTGCCACCATTTCATGGCTCATTTAGGGGTAATTTATCCCCATAACTTGCATTAATAATTCATAATTAATTCTTATCATGCATATTATCATTCCATCCATGTACTAACCAATACATAAATCATCATAGCCAATTTTACATGCCATTGTCATCACATACATCGGTGGCACATCTATAACACATATTGGTATACAAATTATCTAATGCAATATAATAAATTTCTTTAATTCTTTTCCTCTTTTCCTTGCTTCTACCTCATGTATCCTTTGCTTGATCATTATCACGTATTAGGGTTGGTTAAGGGAGGGTGTAATTCAGAAAAATATCAGTAGCAAATAATAACCACGCAGACATACACGGCAAGTTTGGCATTCATAATATGCTTGCAACTTAACATCTTTATAACATAATGACATGTTTGAAAATTATCATGCATTTATCACGAAGCACATAGGACTATAGCATACATTAACATATTCACATTCACAATGCGCATAAGTTTATAAAATCACATAAACGCACAAATATGCCATACATGCAAGCAAAACACCAAAGCATATAAGAATAGGGTAAAGTTTACTACTGTCACATCTTGCAAAAATTAACCCTGGCAATAGGTATGAAAAATTAAGTCGAGGGCCAATATGGAAGGTAGACTGGCTGACAAAGCCACACATGACATAAAATCCGGAGAGGGTCTGAACTAATATTTTTTAAATTATTGGTCCAAGAAGGGCAAAATGGAAAAATTAAAAAAAAATTCCAAAAAATTCCAAAAAAAATGATAAATAGATAAATTAGAGGTTTTGGAACTTCAATGGAGGCTCTAACGATGAAAATGGTATGAAAATATATTGTTATGGAATTTCCTGAAAACAGAGGTTTTTGAAAAAAAAAATAGTGGAAAGTGAGTGAAAATAATTATTATAATTATTTAGAGGCCTCAATAATACTGAAAAAAATATGAAATAATTACCTAAATATTTATTGAAACTTATAAAATTGGTTTTAGGCCCTGGAAGTATACGAAGTTATTTTAGAGAATTTATTTTCAAAAGTCTTACTAACAATGCCCTATCTGGGAAAATTCAAAATAAATAGTTGGAGGTGGAAAAAAATTCTAGAACTTTTTAGAATGCATTATTATATTAAAATAGGATTTTTCATAGAGAAAAAATGTAATTTTGGAGCCTAGAAAAATTATGAAAAGTTACAAGTGAATAGTCACTGATAAGTTTTAATATTGCTTGGAATTAATATTTTATTATTGGGCTAAATTCTTGAGACTTTCCATATCAAAAGTGGGTCCCACATTGGCCCAAGAAAGGCCCAAAAATTTGTGCAAACCTGGCCCAATAATTAAAATGGATTTAGGCCCAATTTTAGTCAAAACATCAGTGGAATATTCTGGAGACTAGACACATGGCATGATCTTAAATTATGGAGTATTTGATGGCAGCCAAGTGGCCTCCCACATGGTAGAAAATCACACCTAAATAGAGGAAGGAAGTTAGATTTTTTTATCTATAAGTGCCCCCTAAATTCCATATAATTCGGCCAAAATAGAGAAGCTAAGGGAAGGTGTTGCCAAACTGAATTCTTAACCTTGGAAGAGAGTTTATAACCATACAAATTGAGAAGGAAGTGTTAGGCTTTGATCAAGGATTGATTGAGGTAAGTTTGAGCTTTGTTTTGGTTAAATTTAAAGCTTGTTTCAAGCGGAAATTTATGACAATATTCCTAGGTCACATGCTGTCCATTTTTGGTTGATATGAAGAATGATTAAGGAAGGATAGAAGCCTTGAAAATGAGTTGAATTTACCATGTTTAATTGATATTTGGGTTGAATTTTGAAAGAAAACCAAGTTAGGGTTTTATCACACCCTATTCAGCCATGACTTGTTGGTAGGAGTTTGTTTTGATGTGTTTTGATGATTCCAATGGGTTTAAAAGGTGTTTTTGTGTAGGAAAACACCAAGAGAAAGTGTTTAAAATCATTGGAATCAAAAATAAATTTTTTGGAACATAACACCTCCTATTCGACCAAGCTTAAATGAAAGGGAAGGAGTATGATTTTGATAAATCTAAATTAATATTTAGATTCTACATGAAAAATTATGTAGGAATGAATTAAGGGATTGACGGAATCAAAGGAGGAATAATTAGGTTAAAAATCAAAGAAAATGAGGAATTAAGAAGGTTTAAGGTTAAATGTTTGTATTTAAGCTTGAATGATTGTTAATATGATTTGTAATTATACTAGAATTGATAGGTTTTGTGAAGAAGAATCAAGGAGAGCATAAACCCCTTAAGAAGGCCAAATTGTTTCAGGTGTAAGAGGTAACATTGAATCTAATTTGATTATTTTCTTGCTTGCTTAATGTGTATGTGTTGCTTGCTTTACCTTGCTATGAAATGATTGATTTATACTATAGTATGGAATGTCCTTTGATGTTTGACATGCTTTGGCCAAATGCATATTGATATGAAATATGAATATGTACGAATTTCATTGATGGAATAATGTGTTATTCATGGAATTGGAATTGATTATTATGCATTGTGACATGTCACATTTTGTAAAGCATGATTAACATGATAATTATGATTCATTGCTATTAAGATTTCTATGAAACCTCATTCCTTTATATTTTCATATTTACCAACTAGGAGTTAGATCAAGCAAGGAGAAAGGAAAGGGATTCACTTGGAGGATGATGGAGTTTATTGTTATTGAAATGATGTTTTGTAATTATATACATTGTTATGTATAATTTTGAACTATGTTGGAGTATTGTATCAATGATTAAGGATGCTCTACCTATGAGCAATTGACAAAAGAATTATGTTTGAGTATGTGTTTTATGATTGGAAAGGTTATATGAAAGGAAAGGAAAAGAGAAACCAAGAATCTCTCGAAAGAGCGATAAAAATTGACTTTTAAAGGTCAAGTTTGACTAACGTGATTTTAAGCAATTGGATGATTCTTGAACTGAAATTTGGCATGCTTATAGATCTCATTTTTAGCTTTAAAACAGGTGATAATTCACTAAATTTGGAGTTCTATACAAAAAGTTATGTCCTTTCAAAATTGGGCATAAATCGTGAAAAATTAAAAAATGACTAAATAAACAATACCACTTTGAACGAAATTTGGGATTGATGCATAAGTTTTGGATGCCAATGAGTATTTTTTCTTCAAAG